ATCAACTTCGCACGAAATTTTCCAGTTCTGGAAGGGATTATTATTCCACCTTTTTTCACTAATTATGGAATTCTTCTACAGCACAATGTATATTAGAATAGAGTTTGGTTCTGTCTTTCCTTGTAGCATAGGGAATTTCTTTAATATAAACTTACTCATGATTTAGCCAAAATGAGTGCCTATTTTCCCCAATAACTTAACTAAGAGGGCAGTTTTCCAAACCAAAGCCCATCTTATTGTTAAATCCAATCAGTTGATCAAAATAACCTGACAAGATATATGCTAAACTACCAAGTTAAATTTTGTCATGAAAGTTGTTTGCAGGACTCGCAGGACTGTATATTTGAGAGTTGCGAAAATTCCCATCAGAGAATTCAGAAGAGTGGTTTGGCGGGCGTACGTATACTTTCGATAAATTCTCGTCAAATGGATTTTGACCTGTACTTTCAGAAGTGCGGACCATCTGCACAGATCGCGTTGGCTATCTACAACAAGTTCAATGGTCTAGCACGCCGCCAACACAAACCATTCACGCAGCGCAAGCCTTCACAGAAATAACCCCAGAAAACAAAACAATAGCATACGGCTGGTTTTAATTTGGTTCGACAGACAGTCAGACAGTCTACAAGAACGGAAAATGAATTATGTTCAACCATGTTAAAAAAACAGAATATTAAAAGGATTGAGAGGACTACCTATTTGTCCAACTGTAGAGCTTTAGATGTTGTTATGACGGTGAAGCGTACCTACCGCCCTTAAGCAATTTGTGGTACAACGAAAAAGTCTTTGTAGTAATTTGCTTCTTTTGGGCATTAACGTTCATCATCTTTAGCAGGTACGTTCATACACACAGTTACTTTCCACGGTTGAGTTCTGACAAATGCTCTGCTAATTTTGAGTGAGTATTTTGGCACGACTAGTCATCTACTTTATCTGTCATCATTTGGGATACGTTGGGAGAGACATCAAGAGCCCGAGTCAATCTTCATAGCAATATTTATGTTGCTATCTCTAAGAGATGGATGACCTTAGAAAGCGTTTGATAGAAAACCGAATATAAATGAACGTTGGATAACATTTCGTCGTGCGGAATTCACAGCGATACTTGGCTTTAAGATTTCAGAACTGAACCTGTATATTGTGTGGACATAAGGTCACTCTACTCGGTAATTTATATTCCCGGAATATCGCTCTTAAACAATATTTGTTATTGTTAGGGGGGTTTGACAGATATACTTAATTCAATAGAAGAGAATATCCGAGTTCCAGGAAGCAGTTCAGAAGAAGAAGAAGCGATCACTATAACAAGAGGTTTATTGTCCTGGCGTTTCGGATTCCCTCGGGAATGCTTAATCATAGGTAATATTAGAACAGTCTGAGACATGCGCAGATAGGGTGATCCATGCAA